ACTAAAAGAAAAGTAACTTAAAATGATAGAGAGTATTTACCAAAACACATGTTACCAGCATTATTCTTGATTTCAAAAAGCTTAGAAGTAAATTATTTAATGTGGAAACAAAACAAGAATACCTGCTATCACTGCTACTCTTCATTATGCTGAAGATTTTAGCCAAAGTAATTAGATAAGAAAAACGAGCGGGGGGAGACACAAAAATTGGAAAGGAAGAAAAATATTAATTATAAATGAAATGATTATCTACAAGAGAATCTACATACTATTAGAACTGGCTGGGTGCAGTGGCTCAAGCCTATAATCCCAGCACTTTGGGAGGCTGAAGTGGGCAGATCACTTGAGGTCGGGAGTTTGAGATTAGTCTGACCAACATGGAGAAACCCCGTTTCTAGTAAAACAAAAATAAAATAAAAAATTATCCAGGGTGGTGGCATATGCCAGTAATCCCAGCTACTCAGGAGGCTGAGACAGGAGAATCACTTGAACCCAGGAGGCAGAGGTTGCGGTGAGCTGAGATCATGCCACTGTACTCCAGCCTGGGCAACAAAAGCAAGACAGTGTCTCAAAAAAAAAAAAAAAAAAAAGAATCTACATACTATTAGAACTAGCAAGAGTTCATGAAGTTTACTGGAGATAAGGTCAACATATAGAAAACCAATAGTTTCACTGCACGTCAACACAGAGATATAATTTAATACCATCTGTAAGCTGCCCTGTGCTTTTTCTAACAAAATATTCAGAAGGGAAATGACATTTCAAAGACAGTTAAAAAATAAATCCAAATTATCAGTCATCTCCCTCATTTAATCTGTAACATCAATACAGTCCAAAAATAAAATACTCCATAAAGTTTAGGAGAACTTTATGAAATTAGAAAAACTGATCAAAAAATTCAGCTGGAAAAACAAAGGTCCAAGAATTGTCAAGACTGTTTTGGAAATGAACAAAGGGGGTCATGCAATCAAATAACTAGACCTAATTTTTATATCAGTAATAAATTCAAAATGTGATGTTGGCTTAGGGATAGACAAGTAGATTAATAATAAAACAGAAAAGAAGGGCCAGAAACAGATTCAAGCACATATAGAAATTTGGTATAATAAAATAGAGAACAATTGGATTCCCAGATGGAAAAACTATGTAGTGTATATTACACTATACCATACACAAGAATAAATTCCAATTCGAGTAAAGATCAAAATGAGAAAAGCTACCTTCAAAACTTCTAGAATAAAATATAGACTTCCTTAGCTAGATAGGATTTCTTAAGACATAAAAATAACTCATAAAGGAAAGAATTGTTTGACTAGATAAAAAATGTTAACTTTTATTAGAGAAAAGTTATTAACAAAGTTAAATATATATAATAGAATTAGTATCTAGAGTATTTGAAGCTACTATAATGTAATAAGAAATAGCTCCACTTAAAAATATGCAAAGGTTAGGAACCAACAATTCATGGGGGAGAAAATCCGTATGTCTAATAGGCAGGTGAAAAGGCACACAACATTGCTAATAATTGGGGAAAAGACAATTTTTAAAAAATACCATTTTATATCCATTGGAATAGTAACCTTTTAGTATATGTATTACGTATAGCATGTATAAATGGCATATATATATGCAAGGTAATAGGAAAATAGGAATTATCATATACTGCTAATGGAAGTATAAATGGATGGAAGTGTTAGAGAAATGTGTTAATATAAAATAAAATTTAAAATCATTTATAAGCCCTAGAAAATTGATTTCTAGATTTATAGCTTAGAAATTCTTATGGGCATATACCAAGAGACATGTACGAAGACACTTATTGCAGTATTGTTTGTAGAAGAACTGGAAGCTACATAATTACCTTTCAGTAGAGGAATTGATGAATAAATTTGATTATTCATGTAGTGGGATACTTTTTAGTAAATGAACTTCATCTAAGTATATGAACATGGATGGATCTCAAAAATAATGTTGAGTTAAAAAACAATTGTAGAATATGTACAAAGTAATGGAATTTGCATAAACATTTAAAAGCTTCACAGAACAGTGTATGTTGCTTATAGATTTTTGTGTATCTAATACAAGGAACAACTTGAAGTAACAACTGGAAAGTTTACACACTGGATTAATGGTAGTTGCCTTTGAGAAGGTAGGGAGGGGTATAAGGTTAGGGAGAACAAAAGGGGGGCTTAAACTTCTATATTGTTCTATTATGTTTAACTATAAAGTAAAAATAATCAAGGGGCTAAATTAAGTGATTCCAGGGCCCTCATCTACCAGAAGGGCTTTCATTTTTCTTTATAATTCTGTCCTTTAAAACAGTGGTCCCCAACCATTTTGGCACCAGTGACCAAATTCATGGAAGAGTTTTTCCACAGATGGAGGGCTGGGGGAGATGATTTGGGGGATGATTCAAGCTCATAACATTTATAGTACAGTTTACTTATGTTATTATTCTGTTGTAATATATAATGAAGTAATTATACAACTCACCATAATGTAAAATCAGTGGGAGTCCCTTGTTTTTCTGCAACTAGATGGTTATCCCATCTGGGGGTGATGGGAGACAGTGACAGATCATCAGGCATTTGATTCTCTTAAGTACCATGCAACCTAGATCCCTCAGATCCCTCATGCACAGTTCACAAGAGGGTTCACAGGCTCCTATGAGAATCTGATGTTGCCACTGATCTGACAGGAGGCAGAGCTCAGGCTGCTTGGCTGCTCACCTCCTGCTATGTAGCCTGGTTCCTAACAGGGATGAAAGTTGGGGACCCCTGCTTTAACAGGCTATCATTTACATGTATCTTTTAGAGCTTTACCATTATACTTTACATGTACCTTTTAGAGCTTTATCATTGCATGTATCTTTTAGAGGATGGTAGATATAACCATCCTCCTTAGATAATCCCATAGAGTAGTCAGTTACTGGTAGAATGAAAATATGTTGAGATCTGTATTTTATAAAATAAACATTTCATTTTGATGCTAACTTATATAAAAACTCTTAAGTGGTCCCAGTCTTTCCAAGGGCTTTTCCTCATCTAAGGGACTGAATTTTTTTTGTCACTTATTCATTTAACAGATTTTATTGAACTCCATACATGTACCAGATGATAACACAGCAGTGAGCAATACAGACAAAGCCTGCTCTCATGAAGTTTAAATTCTAGTCAAGGAAGATAACTGGTAAAGAAATTAATGAAATTATAATATGGCAGATGATAAGTGCAATGATGAAAAATCAAGCATGATGAGAGCTATAGAGAATGATTGTGGGAGTATTTTATATGGGGAAGTCAGGGAAGAACTGTGTTAAAAATAACATGGAGCAAGGTAGCAAAGAAAGTAAAGGGGTAAGTTATATAGGAGAAAAGTCCTAGAGGGTGGCAGATCAAGCCAGTGCAGGGCGGGCTCTTGCCATACTGCTATCACGGAAGCCACCTGACTAGAGCTGAATGAATGAAGAATAGACCAGAATAGGTCTAATCTCGTCTGGTCTAAGAGATTAGACCAGAAAGATAACAGAGGATTGGGTCATACAGGGCTTTTATGGCCCTGGTAAAGACTAAGGATTAATATTATCTGCAAAAAGAAGACAAGATCTTTGCAAAATCTTGCAGTGAGCCAAGATCACATCACTGCACTCCAGCCTGGCAATAGAGCAAGACTCTGTCTCAAAAACAAACAAACAAAAAAACCTCTACAAATATTCTGTTGGATTTTGGGAAGGGGATTTCATTCCCTCTTAACCTACAGTTATCCTTTACTTTTTGCTCTTTTTAGTCATTCCGAACTTTGCAATTAAACTGAATCCAGTCACTTTTTATTGTTTAGAAAGTAAACAGGTATAAAATGTTGTTATTAATGATTGTGTTAAATGAAATTTCAATACTAATTTTTTTTTTACATTATAGCTTAGCTGTATGGCTACATAAAAAGGCAAATAACCAGTTTTGGTTTACATTTATTTGGCTTTAGAAACTCTTGCAGAAGACAATTTGGTTTTAACGTGTTTTAAAGGTTGTATGTAAACTGTTCCTGAACATCTTGCACAATTTCTTTGCATTTTAACTTTCCTTTATGTTACAACAAAATCCAAAGTTTGCAATAGTTGTTTTTTATACTGGCTTCATTTGTGTTATTTATTAACATTTCACTTATATTCAGTAGTTCAGTTAAATTGATATATAATGGCTTTATTGTATTGTTTATTTCCTTTTTTATTTTTTGATGGAATCTCTTATCCAGGCTGGAGTGCAGTGGTGCATTCTCAGCTTACTGCAACCTCCGACTCCCTGGTTCAAGTGATTCTCCTGCCTCAGCTTCCTGAGTAGCTGGGATTACAGGCACAAGCCACCACACCTAGCTAATTTTTGTATTTTTACCATGTTGGCCAGGATGGTCTCGATCCTGACCTCAGATCCGCTCTCCTCAGCCTCCCAAAGTGCTGGGATTATGGGCGTGAGCCACCTCACCCGGCCAATTTATTATTATATTAATCTTTTTTTATTGCTTTTTTGTCTAGGGATTCTTGTTACTGGTGTGTGTGTCTGTGCGTAGAGACGGGTGGGGGGAACAGAATCTTGATAAATCTTACAAGCTACAGATCATAGTACATCATTATGACTTTTAAGTGCTAAGCAAATTATTGTCCAGAGTGGCAGGCAAACAGTAAAAATCATAATTACTGCAAGCTCTGTGCCATACTTTTAAGTATAGTAATAAATGTGCATTTATATACTGTTAAAAATTGTTTACTCAAAATAAACTTAGGAAATATTTTGACCATGCTTTAAGATTAAATTTAGTACAATGAATGGAAAATAGATTTTTGTTTTGCTTTGTGAAAAACACAGTTTTAGGCCACAATCCTTAATCTTAGTAGGATGCTGTATTTTTTTCATAGTAAGGAAGACTAAATTATCACATCTTACTGAGAATTTTGCAGATATTTCATAAACTTTTCATTTACTAACCTAACTTTCTCTTTCTTTTAGCAAAACTGTACAATCTAAAGTGGACTGCATTTTGGTAAGTGAAATAACTAATCTTAAAGTTCTTTTGCAATAAGGTTTTACCACAATATAAAATATAAACTTTTTAAGGAAATCTTGATTTTAAATATAATCCAACTCCAGTGAATAAAATTTGACATTTTAATTACAGCCTCCTCAGGTGAATTGTTTATAAGCTATCTAGATACTTTCCTATATTTCATCAATAATAAAATAACAATCTTAGGTAATTACATGTTTTTGAATCTTACTGGCTTTTACTGAAAGATTGCTTAAACAAACATTTAATTAAACTGGATATTTATTTTTCAATTCTAATAACTTTGTAAGAATTTGTTTAGAGAAAAGTTTTTAAAGATGTTTAATGGATTAGTTTTGTTAAGATAGCATATCTCATGTTTTGGTTGCTAGCATGTGGGAATTAAGCAATAATAATAGTTTAAGTTTAGATTCTACTTAATAAACTGTAAAAATTTGTTTTCAAAAAAGCTTTTAAGATGTTGAGTGGATTAGTTTTTGTTGGGTTGCCAGCTTTTAAGATTTAAAGCCACAATAATAGTTTAAATTTAGATTGTAATAATAGAGTTGTAGTTTCTTAGGTCTTCTCTTAAAAGCGTGAGGGAAGGAGCATGCAGCTACTGGGAAATCTGGAGTATAGCTGATTTCTTTCATAACATCTCTGCTGAAAGGCTACCCTCTAGAGTTTAGAACATACGAAGGCTCTGTACTGTTAGATTCCCCAAATTGTCAGTGTTGTTACTTCTCTTTTCCTGCGTGTGACTGCAAAAGTTCTCCTATCCAAGTTTGAGTCTTGCTTATACACTAACCTGAGATTGGTGGTGGTGGTGGTCTGTTTCAGTGTCTGGTGCTGAAATAGTATGATGTCTTATTAGCTTATGTTATTATTAGCTTATTATCCTCTAGGTAGGTGAATAAATAGGAATAGTTTATAGGAGAAGATATAATTTAATCAGTTTTCTTTTACTCTTCTAGCCTAATAGCTAAAAGAGAACTTTGTGGAGGTGTTTTTCTTTTCCTTTTCACTTACTCTTCCTTTTGTTTTGTGTGTGTGTGTGTGTGTGTGTGTGTAGTTTTTTGTTTTTTGGGTTTTTTATTTTTTGTCTTATAATAAACCTTTGAAGTAAGTAATCTCGCACCTCCCTTTTACAAATGAAGATACCAATGCTCTTGCATTTCATTCAAAAAATTATTAAACAAAATTATTGAACAGTTTTACTCATAAGGGATACCAAACAGAAAAGACATATTCTCTGCCCTTAAGAAATCTAGTCTGTTATTAAGAGAGATATTTAAGAGTACTCTTAAGACCTGGGAAAGTGGCAATTGGGGATGGAGGGAGTAACACATTCCCGCCAACCCCCAGAGCATTTCCTCTGTCTTCCAGCTCTTTAACTGTCTCATCGTTTATGTGTCATTCTGTAATTATTTCATGATTACCATATACTAGACCCTGTTCTTGGTACCAGAGTACAGTGGTAAGCAAGACAGACACAGTTCTTATCTATCTAAGGCTACTTCCTTTCTTTGCAATACTTGAGACAACTTTGGAGGATTACTCCTTTTTTCTCTTCATTGAAAAAAGGCAGAAGAAAATTGGTATACATTATAAAATATGACATTTATAAAATGCTAAGTAAGAACAAAAGTCTTTTTAAAGTCTTTTAAGAGTTCAGAAGTGTTTATATTTTAGTGTAAGTTTTAGAATATATGTAAATGTTTACTCAGTAATTTAAAAATACTGTTAGGTCCTAGACATACAGTGATGAACAAGATACTAAGACCTCTCCTCTCATGATCCTTTTATTTTATTGGGTGAGGTAGACATTTAAAAAGTGAGCAAATAAGTAAGCATTATAATTCAGATAACGATAAAGATACAACACAATTTTTAAAAGGCAAAGGCAGACAGGCCGTGGTGGGTAGGGTAACCTTAGATAGGGTGGCCAGGGAAAGCTTCTCGGAGGAGGTGACATTTGAGTGGTGACCTGAGTAATAAGAAGCCACCCTTGAGTCATGATCTGCTGGTGATACACACAAGGTAGAAGAGGAACAGTAGGTACAAAAATTTTGAAGGAGGAATGAGTTGGGGATATTTGAAGAATATAGGATCCCAGTGTGCTGGAACTTATGGAAGTAAGTAGAGAGTGATAGAAAAGTTCAAGCAGGGAGTTGTTCGTGTATTGCATATTTAGTCATGGCATGAGAAGCTGATTAGATGATTTTATGCAGAGAATAGTACAATCCAATTTTTTTTAATACCCTGGCTATAGTTGGAACAGTGGATTGTAGGAGGATATGAGTAGAAGCAGGAAAATTAATTAGGCTATTGCAGAAGTCCAGTAGATAATTCAAGGCTCTTACTCAGATGATGGCGATGGAAGTTTTTTTTTTTTTAAGTAGATGGATTTAGGCATATTTTGGATATGAAGCTAGTAGGCCTTGCTTGCTGATAGATTGAATGTGGAGAGGAAACAGGAATCAAGGATGATTCCTTTCAGTCTAAAGCACTTCTTCTAGTATTTCTTATACCACAGGTTTGTAATGAATTTTCTCAGTCTGTTTATCTGTGAACATCTTCATTTTGCCTTCAGTTTTAAAACATAGTTTTGCTTGAAATGGAATTTCTAGTTTACAGTTTCGTTTGCTTGTTTTTTCTTTTATTATTTTGAATATGTTATTCCATTGCCTTTTGGACATCAGCCATTAATTATATTATTGTATTCCTTTACGTTTTATTTTGTTGGTGTTAAGATTTATCCTAGATTCATTTTCTCAGTCATTCACTTCTCTCTCCCTGACTTTTAACAGTTTGACTATGTATATAGTGGATCACTTTCTGTTTGTCCTATGTGGGCTTTGTGGAGCTCACATAGATTAGTTGGATTTGGGATGCTTTCAACCATTATCTTCCGAATGCTTTTTCAGGCCCTTGATTCTCCCCTTCTAAAATTCCCATTTCACATATGTTGAAATGATTGATGTTATTTTTCTTGTCTCTCTGAAGCTCTATTAATTTTTTTCTCTGATTATCTTTATGCTGTAGTTTCTTTATCTTTACTAAGATTCCCTGTTGTCTGACTCATTGTCGTTCTGTTTTTCTTTGTGTGTTTAAGTATAGCCCGCCTCATCCTAGCAGCACTACTGTTCAAACCATGTGGTTTTGAACACATGGTTTCATGGAGATAGGTCAGTGTAGCAGCCATAAGCAAGAATAATAAAGACTCTCATAGTTACTACTACCTGAAGTTCAGTAGTCTTTATAGACTAAACACTTCCCAGTATGTTGTTTGCCTGTAGTTAGTTTCCAGAACCTAGTTTCTGACCGTTTTGTGTCTTTTTATAGTTGTAGAATTAGCCAACCTCTTTACTTCCTTTTCCAGATATCTCAATCTTCTTATATTTATTATATTTTATTCTCCAAGTTTTATAGTCATAGTGTTTTTCTTTTAGACGTTTGAACCATTATGTGTTAAATTTGTGTTTGTTTTAAGGTGAACTTCAAGGTTCATTTTTTACATTATGGATGGATATCCAGTTTTGTGTATATACACACACACACACACACACACACACACACACAATTGCACTTTAGGTTCTGGGGGTACATGTGAAGAACTTGCAGATTTGTTACATAGGTACATACATGGCAGTGTGGTTTGGTGCCTCCATCCCCATCACCTATATCTGACATTTCTCCCCATGTTATCCCTCCCCAACTCCCTACCCCCTGCTGTCCCTCCCCTAGTCTCCCCCAGCAGACCCAGTTGTGTGATGCTCCCCTCCTTATGTCCATGTGTTCTCATTGTTCAACACCCGCCTGTGAGTGAGAACATGCAATGTTGAATTTTTTGTTCTTGTGTCAGTTTGCTGAGAAAGATGGTTTCCAGGTTCATCTATGTCCCTACAAAGGACACGAACTCATCATTTTTTTATGGCTGCATAGTATTCCATGGTGTATATGTGCCACATTTTCCCTGTCCAGTCTATCATCGATGGGCATTTGGGTTAGTTGCAGGTCTTTGCTATTGTAAACAGTGCCACAATGAACATACCTGTGCATGTGTCTTTATAACAGAATGATTTATAATCCTTTGGATATATACCCAATAATAGAATTGCTAGATCAAATGGAATTTCTCTTTCTAGGTCCTTGAGGAATTGCCACACTGTCTTCCACATTGGTTGAACTAATTTATACTCCTACCAACAGTGTAAAAGTGTTACTATTTCTCCACATCCTGTCCAGCATCTATTGTCTCCAGATTTTTTAATGATCGCCATTCTAACTGGTGTGAGATGGTATCTCAATGTGGTTTTGATTTGCATTTCTCTAATGACCAGTGATGATCAGCATCATTTCATACATTTGTTGGCCCCATATATGTCTTCTTTTGAAAAGTGTCTGTTCATATCCTTTGCCCACTCTTGGATGGGTTTGTTTGTTTTCTTTCTTGTAAATCTGTTTTAGTTCTTCATAAATTGTGGATATTAGCCCTTTGTCAGATGGGTAGATTGCAAAAATGTTTCCCATTCTGTTGGTTGCTGGTTCACTCTAATGATGTTTGTTTTGCCGTGCAGAAGCTCTGGAGTTTAATTAGGTCCCATTTGTCTATTTTGGCTTTTGTTGCCAGTGCTTTCGGTGTTTTAGTCATGAAGTGCTCGCCTATGCCTATGTCCTGAATGGTTTTGCCTAGGTTTTCTTCTTGGGTTTTCATGGACTTATGTCTTATGTTTAAGTCTTTAATCCATCTGGAGTTAATTTTAGTGTAAGGTGTTAGGAAGGGGTCCAGTTTCTGCATTCTGCACATGGCCAGTTTTCCCAACACCATTTATTAAACAGGGAATCCTTTCCCCATGGCTTGTTTTTGTCAGGTTTGTCAAAGATCACATGATTGTAGATGTGTGGCGTTTCCTCCGAGGCCTCTGTTCTGTTCCACTGGTCTATATCTCTGTTTTGGTACCAGTACCATGCTGTTTTGATTACTGTAGCCTTGT